TAGGGTTCGTTCTTATAATAATAATGAGGTTTATTTTTAAAACACATCTTGGGCACCGCCTTTGTATGTTTTGTCTAACGCTTGGTTTCCGTTCACCAATCACGGTCAACTTGCCGATGGCGTATTTTGCTAGCATTGTTTGGATAACATTTTCTAGCTCTTTCATCTCAAGAGAGGTTAAGCATTGTAAGCTTCAACTAGAGCTGTTTATTTCTCCTAGGTGGCTGCTGAATACGAGTGTAGGTCATCGCATTTATTTATTGAGAAAGGGACGCTCATGAGCCCGGACTGTCTACGGGATCATTTTCAGTCATTTCGTGGGAAATCTTATGTTTTTCCATTTTTTGTAGGAGGATCGGTGTATCTGAGGACAGGACTACCATATGTGAAGGTACATATTGGATACTCCCAGATAAGGTAGCTCATCGATCGTTAATTCTGATCTGAATGATTCTGACCAAACTACCTAGGAAGTCTTGATTGAAAAATATAATTCTGACACACAACATTTTATTTAACTTCCCATGAAATAAAATAATCAAAAGCTTGCCTAAAAAGCTTCCAGTGCTTGCCACATTTACACTGCTCTCTCATAGTCCTATGTGGTGGCTGCAAAACCAGGACATGTCGCCACTGCGTCGTCTTCGTGCCTCACGTATGCTTCTTCATCATTTTTAAAAATTCGTCATACGAAACCTGTCCATTTCCATTTGCATCGGCCTCTAAAATCATCTCATCAATCTCTGCATCCGTGAGTCTGAGATGCAAGGTATGCAAGACCTGTTTAAGCTCCATTGTAGTAATTTCCCCATCGTTGTTTTTGTCAAAGAACTCAAACGCCATTTTGAAGTGCAGGTCATCGTCTTTGCTCTCCTCCACCAAGGGTGTCATCATGGTGACAAATTCCCGAAAATCAATTCTACCATCATTGTTCGTATCGATTTTAGCAAATATTTCCCTGGCCTCTTCTGTCGTACAGGCTCGACTGAACTGTTTCATCATCGTTTTCATCTCTGACATCGAAATAAAGCCATCGTGGTCGCGGTCGAATAAGGCAAACGCCTCGCGCAGTTCTTCCAACTGCTCTTCGCGCAAATTCGCACCAGCCATTCAAAACAGCGTATTGATCTTGCGAGCGCTTGTGGCGCACGTGATATGGAGTGCTGGAGTGCCCCCTAAGCGGGCCGCGTGCTAGCTGCGCTGGAGCAACACGGAAGCCAGACCAGGGTACGGCAGGCGTTATTTGGATTGTGAGCCGATAAAAAATGCCAAACATGTAGGTGCAGGCTTATCGCAATGTGTTAAGACTACTAAGGATTAACCCTAACGGCTGCGATCTTCCAGGCCCGGTTCCTTAGGAGATGAGAGA